TATTTCCGAGACCATCAGTAAAATGACAATTATCCTAACCTTACAGGAAATAAACCATGGCAAATAATAGTTTATAGTGACAAATATATTGTTTAAATTGTTAACCATTTGTGGATGAGAATCATTCTGATTATACATTTTTCGCCTTAATTCTTACAAATGTAGCAACAATATAGTTTGTAAAATAAAAGGAAAATACTCAGCCATCTCCCTATTATTTTTAGAAAATGACTAATATGTTATATGCATTCCTTTCTAGTGTTTTAAAGTAACATTTTTAATTACAACACACAAACACACACACACACACACACACACACACACGCACTGTAGATAAAAAGAAAAATGAGGAAAAGTAGAGAGAGGAAAAATGAACATAAGCATGGCGTTATTTCCAAGAATTGGGAAGTCTCAGAAGCTCAAACCCACACCCAGAAGAAGAACGCCCAGTAATCTTAAAAACTTAGACCAGTGGGTCTCAAATTTGAGCAGGCATCAGGATCACTGAGGGGGAAGGAGACTGCTAAATACTGATGGCTGGGCCCCACCCCCAGAGTTTCTGATTCAGTGTATCAGGGGACCAAGAATTTCCATTTTCTAGCAGTTTCCAAGTGCTGCTGCTGCTGCTGGGAAGTGACTCCTGAACTCATTCCAAATAGCAGATTTATGGGAGGATTTCATCTGTCTCTGAGATGGAGATGTCCTTGATTTGCTATTTTTGTTACATTTATCCATAACAATCAATCAAGTTTGAGGCAGTCCTTACCAACTTAATAACAATACCTTAGTATTTGTGATTTGTATACTTGTTCAAGAATACTTTTAAACCAGGGAGATGTTGTCATTATTTCTATTTTGTAGGTGAAGAAATTGAGACCTGATGTACTGGTTGTGAGATCTGGAATAGAGCTCACTTTTCTTCCTTCTGATCTATGATTTTTCCCAGCTTGTCAGGTTGCCAAAGGATCATGCCCAGGGTAAGGGAACAACAGGCTGCCCATGTCCAGACTGAAAGCTCACCACAATGAAAAGGTCTTGGCTGGACATCCAGTCCATGGCATCAGAAAAGCTTTTAAGCTGACTTGGTAGCTTGAACTTTCACAGAACTATGCAATATGACAAGGAAAATTCAAGCTTGCAAGAAGCATTAAAGGGGTTGCAAGACTGGCTAGGAGAGAGCCGACAGCACTCATCAGGGGACCTGGGACAATGATAATGGTAGTTGGGAATGCGTCTCTGGGGTCACACTGCCCAGATTACCAGCTCCTTGCTGTACATGCTGCGTACCTCACCACCCTAAGACTCCACTTCTAGAACCGCAAAATGTGTCTAACAACATACTTACCTCAACTGAGTTTTTCTGAGAAATAGCAGTTCAGGAAATACATAGTGTTAGCTCTCAAGGCACATGAAGTAGCACACATGCCTTTCATTTGCTTTTATCTCCACATTACCTAACATGATCATGATAATGATAATGTAGTAGACACTTAAGAAATAGCAGTTGACCATCTTGGTATTAGACTGTTGATATTAGTATGTCTGCATTTCTATCAAACTATTACTCTTTCACATTGGATAAGGTATATTGCTTCCAAATCATCGTTCGATTATCAAGAAAGCAGGACTGTAAAATTACATTCCTATCATCTGTCTTTGACTATGAACATAGACATTTCAGTTTGGATTCATCTTGTAGCTGGCTGCTTGAGCATCAGGGTTTGTAAGGCTGTGAAAGGAGACCTTCAATATGTGAATTGCAGGTGAACTGACAGCACTCATTCAGGAGCTGATAATAGCTGGTTATGTAAAAGTCCCCCAGATTGTCTAAATTTTAGCTCATATCAAAACATGCAAATTTTTACCTAATATACCTAGACATTGAGAGGAGGCATGATTACAAAATGCAAATAAGTAGGACTCAGATTTATTCACTCACATGACCACCTACTATGCCTGAGCTGTCCTTTTCTACTGGGACCAGCACACAGACCCCTGGCACAGCCCTTGACTTCAATGACCTCAGTCTGGTGTGGAGCACCTTGTTTTGTATATCTGATGGCTCAGACACCTGAAGACTGGAACCCTAAAGTATACTTTTCTAGTTTCCTGTCTACTGGTGAGATGGTTGTTGCGCTTGCCAGGGTAGCAAAGATAATTTCCATTCTCACCTCCCTGGATTGCATTGATGCCAGCACAGGGTACTCCAAAGTATTCACTGATAGAGGCCTCTAATCACAAACTACTGCACATGTCCAACGTACTTGAATTTTTCAAAGATGGTATGTATCTATCTTTCTGTGTATCTCTGTGTATGTGTGTCTGCATTTCTATCAAACTATTACTCTTTCACATTGGATAAGGTATATTGCTTCCAAATCGTTATTCGATTTGGTTTTATCAAGACTTTGTCACGGTACCAGAGTGTTATAATTAATGAGGCAGGGCAAATCATGTTAAGAAAAATACCACCTGACTGCCTTCTCAATATGTAAGCCTTGGGAAAAATGTGTATGTTCATACATAGCACAAGTCAAAGTTTTAAGATTATAGTAGTTGTAAGTTTAAAAGCTTGAATTTAAAAAGGCAACAAAAGAAATAATAAATTAAATTTGCTTGAAGGCAAATACGGACTTTGCCACTTACTGGATGTGTACCTTCCAGCAAGATTACTGTCTGTATCCCAAGAAATGGAAATATTTGTCTCACATTATTGTTTTAAGGAATCCATGAGCCATTGCAGACAAAATGCTGCCCATAGTGCTGGCGAGCAGTGGACATTCCATGAAAAGTGTTTTTATCCTTGTTTATTCCCCGTACTCCCTCACAAGCACTCAAGATGTTTACAATTTTAAATTAGGTTGTTGGATGGTCAGTACTTTAACGCATTGGAATGGACCCTTAGTAGTATAATTTTAAATACTATGGTATGGAATTAAAGGAGATATGTAGACAGATGTGTCATATTTTTTTAAATGAATGAAATTCAAGGTGGCTGCAGTGGTAGGATGCACAACTCTAACCTAGTGTGTGTATCATATGCACCTTCCTATAAATTACACTATACATGACCACACTAATGTGAACATTAATTTAGCAAACTCTCCACTTTTGCTCATCTTGACTCCTCATCTAGAATGTCTCCTGTGTTTGATCGTTAAATTATACACCTTCTTTATACCCTCTCCTCCACAGCGCCCCCTTCTCTGATTCCTGTAAACAAGCAGAGAGCACATCACACCTCTAGTACTATTTGTCTATTGTTTCATATTTGTGTTTACAGTTATCTCAATTATATTCCAAATTTCAAAAGGCCACCTTTATATTTGTTCACCCAAAGCACAATCCTGGGCTGAAAATAGGTAACATCTTAAACTGTAATTTTTTGGACAAAAGTTAGTGACTACAAACCACCACCAACAACAACAACAACAAAAATAAGCATTTCAAAAAAGTCCTTAGAGGAAAAAGAAAGTGAACTTCTGAAAATAAGATTAGTAAATCAGGTAGAATTTTGAAGGTAACATTCTTGGTTTCCTGGGCAAAAAAAAATTCGCAATTTGTTTGGTTATCTACCATCTTCTTTCTGTGATATAATGAAGAAAAAGAAAGGATTTAAAACACACGTGAAAGACTAAAGCCATCAGCTTCACAGTAGTGCAAATCTTCACAGGGGAAAATGCAGAGATGTGTTTCAGTCTCAGAAGAGACTTGGAGAACTTCTGTGAATAAGTGAATTCTGTTCTGGAGTAGAGGCTCTCCTACAAGGACCTCCAGGAACAGACTCAGAGCTCTTTAATAAGTATTCCAGGCAGTCAGGCTTTCTTGGAAAAAACAAATTAGTGTGAGAAGCCAGTACTGTGCAATTTCAGTTTTAAAAATAGCCAGTATTGTTAAGGCTGCTGTGTGCATGAGAGAAAAAGAAGGTCCTTGTTAATTTTCATGTCGGCTTCCACATTAAAACAGAGAAGCTCCACTGAAATTCTTGCCTGGCCAAATACTGCAAAGGTTATAAGGTTCGTATCAATTAGAATCACTTTTGGTCCTTCCAATGACAAACTTTTGGGAGGGAAGAGATTATGTCCCCTTTTAAGACATCAGTCTTTCGATAAAGGACAGGCGAGTGATGGCTCTGCCTCTTTCACTTAGGACCAGAGCTGTGCCTCCCTGTCTGTTTCAGCTTTTCATTTGCCTAATTGCCCTGGGAGGCTGGCAGGGACGTTCCCTGCAACCGTGGCTCTGCTGGCTGCAGAGACCCTACCTGGCACTCTAAGTTGGTGCGTCAGCATTTTAGGTTGAAATGAATGAAAAATCAATCAGGATGACTGCAGTGGTAGCGTGCACAACTCTAACCTAGTTTGTTCATAATTGTCAACTATTCACCATAGACCCAAGCAGTATTTAAGATGGTAAGTGAATCTCTAACAAATGTGCTGCTTCTGCTTAATCGGGCACTTTTTCTTTGTCCTCTTTTCTATTTGGAACGAGCAAGTCTAACCTGCTTAGGAAGCCACATGTAAAATGAATGATGATGTCAAGTTTCATGCAAATATTATCTGCTCTGGCTTCAGATTCAATTTCTAATTAGACCAAGTGATAAATACTCATATAGAGACATAACACATTGCTGTTTTATTAACTTGTGTTGCAAATTCAGAGGCTTAAATGTTTTTAAGGGTCTGTTTATGTTTTTGCCACATCTCTTTGTTACTTGCTGTAATTCTCTGTATCAAAACTACAGTGTTTTAAATTTCTAGATTTACAGTTCTGCAAAGATAGAGTTAAACACTATTTGGACTCTGGCTGCATGATGGTAGCTGGAACTGTTCAAAGCTGCCGTCTTCAGCTCTCAAAGGCAGCTACAGTAACTTTCTGAAAAGATTGGGTTAAATATTTTTACAGACCCATTCTATGATGATAAGGCGGTAATAAGTTGTGCAGTGCAACACTCCAAAGGGCTCCAAATCTCACAAGCCTCTTTGTATGTGATGCTCTCGCAGTGAAGAAGATTCTTTGGGCTATAAAGATGAAGAGTCTACTTCTTCTGGTGCTGATTTCAATCTGCTGGGCTGATCATCTTTCAGACAACTACACTCTGGATCATGACAGAGTTATTCACCTCCAAGGTAAGGAAACACAGCTTCTCTTACCAAAGCCTAATTAATTTCAAGTGACTTAGAGTTGAGATGCTGGGCTAGTGTTTCTTAATTTTAGTTCTGCTGCATTGGCTTTTTCTTTCCCTTTCTGCTAATTGGCAAACGTGTTCCCTGCCTTTTGAGCACTATTGCATTACAGTAGAGTTAAGAATTGGGGACAATTAAAGTTGAGTAGCTTAAGAATGTCCAGCTGCAGTGAGTTGGTGTAATTGTTCAAGGCTGTCAAGTGCAGTTGCTATCTTCAAGTAAAATGGAGGGCATAAAGTTCATTTAAATGCAAGTCAGAGAGAGAAAATAGGAAGTAAAACTTAGGATATAAGGTCATTCTGTTACAGTAACTGTTTAATCATTAAGAGAAACAGTATAGATAAAATGAAAATTAGACAAGCTATTGTCCAGGAAAAAAGTACTTTACCCTCTTATAATCTGCTTCAGTAAAGCTTTAGCTCCTGTAGACCAATACATTGCCCCTCCACATTTCTGTTCAGCGCAGCTGAATCCTAAGCCTGAGAGCTGTAGCAAGATTTGAGGCTGCAGTACAATGCAGCTATTTCCTCAGTCCCAGCTTCAGATGAGGGACATCCTGCATTAAGAAAGCTGAGACTTATGCAATAAGAGGAACAGTTCTCTCCTTGCCCTTGGATGCTGAATAATTAAAAAAGGAATTATAGAACTTAACAGTTTAAGCAGATGATGATAATTTTAGATAAACTCAATCGGGGTACCAGAGGCATGATAAGTTTGCCAAAAGACATAAAACTCTAAGTTGTATCTTCAAGGTCAAAAGCGTAGCCTCAGTAAACTGCATTCACTGTGAAAAGTATGACTTGTGAAGGTCAAATGATAGTGTAAATCTGTCTAGAAGTATTTTCCTGTACGTATTATGACTACCAAAATAGAATTCTGAATTTGTCTATGTCCAGCTATTTTAGACACATCTCTTTTAGTTGTGTTTGCTTCCAACAGATTTATTTTTTTCTCTGTTGAACTGAGAAAAGAAATTGTAATCATAAATTTTACTCTGCAAGCTGCTGACTCAGCTGTTTCTGTGATATATAGTAGAATCAGAGCTGTTTCCCAAAGACCATATGATATTTACACGTAGAAATTTCTAATAAGGAATAATACCCTTTTACCTTCTAGTGACAGAATTCAATTCAGCCAAAATAGTAATACCTAGTCATTATTAATAATGCCAGTTTTATATCCAATGCAATAGAAACTTAAGCCGTGGTTTCAAGTTATTAGATGACAGATACCAAGGGTGTATTATAAACTGTGTACAAACCATTTAATCAAAATTGCACTCAGAGTATGAGACCAGTATTTTCAAAATGTACTAACATTTGAAAAATTACTCCTATAAGTCATACTCAAGTTATCTCAGGCAGGAAAACTTCCGTTACTCCAGCCTTTCCATTCCCAACTCCTCTGTTGAAATTTAGTGCAAAGGGATTTCTGACCCAGAATATCAGGATCATCCAGATTGTTTGCATACACTGTCCACATTTTTAAAAAGGCTTGATAGTCCACTTCATTTTAATTGTAAATTCATATTCTTAGAAAGTGCAGGCTTGCCTCGAAGAGTTGCTAAAGAGCTTTCAAGTAATAGAACTGTATTTGGCTTGTGGAAATTTAATGCTGAAATGTGATTTGAGTCATAGGATTATGATATTATGCCCATAAACCAAATACCTGTTCTCATTACTTTTTTCCCAACAATTTTTTATGATAGCATTCAGATTGAATTTTCAAATCCCATCGTTCTTCAGAGAAACTGCTTCCAAGTGACCTTCCGTAATTCCAGTTGTCTTTTACAATGCAAAAATACATCAGATAGCACAAGAATCAACAAAGTAGATTACTTACTTGCTTCGTTGCTTACTTGAAATACTGCATATTTTCTTGTATTTAAAACTTTTATTTATCAAACATAGCCCAGAAGGAATTTTAGGGAGCTGAAATCCTCACGAATTTTTTGAAGAATTTAGTCAGATGATTAAATTAGCTATCTCAATCTCAGATTCTTGAGTGGTGCTGATAAGCAGTATGAGCTTCTGTTAGTGACAGAAAATAGTTGAAAATTCACGTTACTGTAAAAACATCTTTACTCTCTCCTGTTTTTGATTAAATTTCTATTTTATAGATACCAAGTTCCCAAGGTCTGAACAATATTGGGAAAATAGTGCAAATCATCCTCAAATTCTTCTTGGCTGCCTTGATACAGATGCTCAACATTTTAATGATACATTTTTGAGTTCCACGTGTATGAGTTAGTTAATTATTTTTCTGAAGGCCTCCTCATAATGTTGTTGGGAGAGGTTTTATAGATATATAGACACACAAAAAAAGTTTAATCTGGATATTACAAAGAGAGAGAGAGAGAAACAGAGAGAAGGGAAAAAAAGCAGATGACCAGTAAAGAAAATAGCAAGTGTAGACCCCTATGCAAAGTGTTTCTAGTGAAAAACATTTATCTGGTAATGAAAAAAATCTCTCCCAGCTTCCCATGGAAAAAGAGTTAGCTTTAGATAAAAAGTTCACATGCACTAATCCATTTCCTTTCATTTTTCATTGAAATAATTTGGTCATACAGGAAAGCAAACTTCATTTGTCCACAAAGTCTACTAAAAATATGCAATTGAGATATTAGCTTGTATATAACATACTGTCCTCAATGTAGGCAATAGTTATCTTCTCAAATACTTCTACAGGAAGAGGGGCCACTGTTAATACCCTCTCTATACTCTAAACTAATGGATTTTGTTCCTCATGTCACAATGTGGCTACTTTACTTTTAAATCCTTTGAAACTTGAGACCATTAGGAAGAGTTTTATATGGAGTATCAAATCACACAGAAAGAATAATATTTACAATATTTGTATCAGGTCCAAAAACTTTGTGTAGCCTTTCAACTACCAGTAGAATTTCAGAGATGAAGAATACACTCTTTAAAACACAACTTTTTAGAAGACATTTATAGATAAGAGAGAAATGTTATGACCATTTGCCCGTTAACCAATATACAAAGCAAAATAGATGAACATGTAACTGCTTGACTTCATCAAGGTCAGAGTCAGTGCTTCCTGCATCTGGTGTTCAAGCAGATGTCTTCTGATGACAAGTTTGAGTCTTTCCTGTAATGCCACTAGCTAGCTTAGACCTTGGAAAATTTACTTAATCTCTCCAAATCCCAGTTACCTCATCTGTAAAATTGGGCCTAATGCCTGCTTATTCCACAGAGCTTTGTGAGAATTAAATGAGAAAATATGTGGAAAGTGTTTAGTACAGTGCCTGGTTCCCAAGAGCTAATACTTATCCAGGTGGTTGTTATCATTATGTTTATTGCTTCCTCCCTGTTATGGAAAATTGATTTTTAAATAGAAAACAGACTACAAATACTGGTCAAAAAAAGTCATACTTTTCGAAGTACATTTGTTAACAGAACCATATCATCACCTTAGTTCTAATAAAGTAAACATTTTATAAGTTCTTTTCTTTGCCTTCTTTAATTTCACAATTTAAAATTTCCCCATTCATATTATTTTTATTTTTATTTTTATTTTTTGAGATGGAGTCTTGCTCTCTCACCCAGGCTGGAGTACAATGGCTCAATCTTGGCTCACTGCAATCTCCGCCTCCCAGGTTCAAGCAACTCTGATACTTCAGCCTCCTAAGTAGCTGGGATTACAGGTGCCTGCCACCAAGCCCTGCTAAGTTTTGTATTTTCAGTAGTGACGGGGTTTTGCAATGTTGACCAGGCTGGTAACTCCTGACCTCAGGTGATCAGCCCACTTCAGCCTCTCAAAGTGTTAGAATTACAGGCGTGAGCCACCGTGCCTAGGCTCCCCAGTCACATTAAACATTATCTGACCATTTTTACTTTCCTGGTAGAAACTAAAGCTTTCCAAACATAAATAATATTTTCCCTTAATATACTTACTATGTGAGCACAGATCCACTACTTTAAATTTTTGTAAGGAAGAACAAGAGGAAATCCCAGAAATGAAAACTGTGTCCTTCTATTTAATAAGTAAAAGTAATGGTCACTTTTGTCAACAAATAAAACAAGTAGGTTTGCTTAAAGAAGAAATTGCCAGAAGCTTGTGTCTGTAAGTAGAAAAAAAATAATGTCTATCCAGAACCACTGGCAGAAGTGCACACTCCTCTCTCAGCTTCACTGTTCCTCCTCCTGCTGTGTGTCCTGAACCTGCCTCCCCTTCTTCAGATCTGGCTCAGTCCTCACATGGACTTCCTGCTAACATGCCTCCCTCCCTCATCAGATTGTCTCTCAGCTTTATAACTAATTCCAACTATACAGCAGTGCCAGGCACATAGTGGGTGCTTAATATATGTTTGTTGATTAAATGAGTGAGCAAATGAATGAAGAATGTAATGAGATACTTCTAAATTGTCACTACCATAATGAGCATTTGTTGAATGCTGTGACATCGCTTGCATTTAGCAGCACATGACACATTGTATGCACTTAATGAACGTTAGCTAGATGACTGCTTTCACTCCGTAATGTTGGCATCAGCTATATCATAGTTCACACAATTTAAGAACTTAAAAGGACTTTGGTGGAGATGGTCTAGACCAATCTTCCAATTCACGAATGAAGAAATCAAGATTCAGAGCTTTGCATTGCTTGTCCCAGGCTACCTGGCTGATAAAAGTCTATTTATCTGGCTAACCCCATCCTTTTTGTCAAATCTGGGCTCATTTCTCACCTTTTTAATGAAGTCATCCTGACTACTGCAATCTGTCACCCGCTGGTATCCTAATCTCTCCCACCCTTCTTTTCTTTCTCTCTGTAGCAATGGCTGTATACTCTACTTATTTTTATGTAATTGTTTGTCATCTGTCTCTACCACAAGAATATTGAACAGCTTTGCAAAGGCAGGAATCTTTGTCTGATGTATCCCAGTCACATAAACCCAATAACTGGCACATAGTAAGTGATCAA